CTCGGGGGAGTCGATCACTGTTTCCACTGTGGATGGTGATGGAGCTAGGGCTGATGTTGCGGCAGATGGTTTCTGGGGAACTTCCCATCAGAGAGCCTTTTTTGATGTGGCTGTTGTAAATCCTTTCTCTGATTCATACAAGGGCCTCGATTTACCAGCTGTATATAGGAAAGTGGAAGCTAGAAAGAAAAGGAAATATGATGTACGTATCAGGGAAGTGGAGCATGGTTGTTTCTCACCTCTTGTTTTTTCCACCAATGGCGGGCTGGCTCCTGTATGTGATGTAGTTTTTAGACGAATTGCATTACTGACAGCTGACAAACTTAACAAACCGTACAGTTCAGTAATCAATTTCATCAGATGCAAATTATCATTTTCAATTTTAAGATCAACAATTCGGTGTGTAAGGGGTACAAGGAGATCAATATATAGGCCCAGTGACTGTGACATTGATGTAGCAATCTCTGATGCTCGACTTCAATGTCACTAACATATTAATAAAGATTATTATTATTATTATTATCATTACTAATTTCACTTATAAACTCATTACTACTGATTTCTGATCCTATTTCAAATTCATTTTATTATTATTATTATATTTATGAATGGACTATAGCCTTGGGTATTTTTCAGAATTTTGGCATTTTCTTAAAATGGCTGCAACTCGAAAAATTGAAGTTGGAATCAGCTCAAACTTTCTACACAGCATAAGGGCATCAATATGTATCAAAAATATTAATAAAAAATTGAGGTAATTTTGGAGCCATTTTTTGGAAAAAACCATGGGCTATTATAGCCTTGGATATTTTTCAGAATTTTGGCATTTTTTAAAAATGGCCGTAACTTGAAAAACTGAAGTCGGAATCAGCTCAAACTTTCTACACAGCATAAGGACATCAATATGTATCAGAAAATGTAATAAAAATTTGGGGTGATTTTGGAGCCATTTTTTGGAAAAAACCATGGCCTTGGGTATTTTTCAGAATTTTGGCGTTTTCTTAAAATGGCCGTAGCTCAAACTTTCCAAATAGCACAAGGACATCAATATGTATCAGAAAATGTAATAAAAATTTGGGGTAAATTCGGACGTCATCTCTCAAAGTTTACATATTCATATTCTTTTATAATGTTATACACTTACCAGAGACTTGAGCCAAACGTCTTATTCTATCAATAATCCTGGGCACAGTGTCACCATCATATATTGGTACAGCCATTGAAAAGAATGGAACACAGTGTTGAGGATTAACAGCAGTTACCATAATAAGAGGCTATAGGTAGAAGTGACAGTAAATATACATGTAATGGTACAGAGAAGTAGATTGGACTATTATATAGAGAAAGAAGAGTAATAGATAGTACATGTAAATTTATAAGGCAAAAGTTTTGCTGATTACCGTATAGCAGGTATATTCCGTCAGAGTTTAATTTCGTTCTTTTCGTTCTCATTCCTTGTGGAACAAATATTTTCCAAACCAAAAAGGTGTTTCCTCAATGCCACATGTGCAAAATGGCTGCTCAGAACGAAAATAAAACAAACGAAAATTTCTAATCCTGCTTAGAACGAACATTTCTCCAGAAAAAATATACCCGCTATACGGTAAGCCTTTCACAAATTCTACAAGTACTGTACATAAATGAAAGTTCTATAGTCACATTCAATAAAATAATGATGATCAACAATACAGTCAAGCCTGTCTTTATATTAATAAATAACAATATCAAAATAATAATATTAATAAATTAATAATGATGATATTACTTTATAAGGATCAGCAGAAAACACTGATATTGGTCGTCCTGGTATACAGTCTTCCTTAACTTTTGCTTCCT